GAAAAATTTGCGGGCATGGCGGCGCATGGCCCTGTACTCCCAGCTACTCAGGAGCTGAGGCAGGAGGATTGCTTGATCCCCAGTTTTGAAGTTGCTGTGAGCTAGGCTGACACCACGGCACTCACTCTAGCCTGGGACAAAGTGAGACTCTGTCTCAAAAAAAAAAAAATTAATTAATTAAAAAATAAATAAACAAATATGATTTTTTCATGGTTGGTGGATTAAACAAGGCTCCATTGATCCCTAATTCTGGAAATAGTTTGAGTGTGTTCTCAAGCTTAATCTCCTTAGTTTGAGGTTGCTGTGAGCTAGGCTGACACCATAGCACCCTAGCCCAGGCAACAGAGCAAGACTCTGTCTCAAAAGAAAAAAAGAGATCCTCTTGCCTCAGCCTTCTAAGTATCTGGGACTACAGCCATGCGTCACCACGCCCAGCTCTTTTTTCTGATTTTAGTTGCCTGGCTAATTTTTTATGTTTTTAGTAGAGATAGGGTCTCGCTCTTGTTCAGTCTGATCTTTAACTCCTGACCTCAAGCAATCTTCCCATCTCAGCCTCCCAGAGTGCTAGGATTACAGATGTGAGCCACCATGTCAGGCTTGCAGAAGGCTTTTGGGATCTATTTCTGGTCTTGCCCTTTTTTTTTTTTTTTTTAAAGAGACAGGATCTTCTTTTTTGCCCAGGTTGAAGTGCAGTGACACTATCATAATTCACTGCAGCCTCCAACTCCTGGACTCAAGCGATCCTACCTCAGCCTTCTGAGTAGCTGGGACCACAGGGGCACACCACCAAGCCCGTCTAATTTTTTAAATTTTTTGTAGAGATGGGGTCTTGATGTGATACCCAGTCTCCATTCTCTTGATTCAGATAAGTATACCTTGAGTTTGAAATCCCTGTTTTCCTGGGTTGGTCTGGTAGTGAGGGACAGGGTACATGCACAGTTTGCAACACAATGGAAAAGATTGGTATTTGGAAGATTTGTTAACAACTATAGTAAAGCCCTCTTAAATATTAAGGGAGGTTTACTGATTTTATTTTTTCTAGAAACTTTAAATGCTGTCTGTGCCACTTGTTTCTTGTTCTCTCCTCTCTCGTTCTTTCTCTATCTCATTATCTTCCTCCTGCCCTCCCTTCCCTTCACTCTGTCTGTTGCTTTATCCATTTGGCGGGATAAAACAAGAAAAGAAAAATTATTTCAGATGAATATTTACATTGGGTAAGAAAATTGTTATAGGAAGGCAACTGAAAGAAATATTCTGCTTTCAATAATATACAACAGTTTTAATCTTAATATAGATCTTGCCACCCTCATTTATCCACCCAACTTTTGTCCTCCCTTCACGTGGTATGTATTCAGAGATTTAAAATTCTATTTTGTATTAATATTTTAAAAATTCAGTAAATAGACCGGACGCAGTGGCTCACGCCTGTAATCCTAGCACTCTGGGAGGCCGAGGCAGGCGGATTGCTCGAGGTCAGGAGTTTGAAACCAGCCTGAGCAAGAGCGAGACCCCGTCTCTACTATAAATAGAAAGAAATTAATTGACCAACTAATATATATAGAAAAAATTAGCCGGGCATGGCGGCGCATGCCTGTACTCCCAGCTACTCAGGAGGCTGAGGCAGGAGGATTGCTTGATCCCAGTTTGAAGTTGCTGTGAGCTAGGCTGACACCACGGCACTCACTCTAGCCTGGGCAACAAAGTGAGACTCTGTCTCAAAAAAAAAAAATTAATTAATTAAAAAATAAATAAAACAAATATGATTTTTTTCATGGTTGGGTGGGATTAAACAAGGCTCCATTGATCCCTAATTCTGAGAAATTAGTCTTGAGGTGTTCTCCAAGCTTACTTTTTCTCTCTTTGAT